AATAGTTGTTAATGATCAGAAGCCAAACTTAAAATTATCAGTAAATAATGTTGAAATAGAAGGCTCAGTGGATACAGGAGCTGGTGTAACTATCATTTCACAAAAAGTGTTGGAATTCAGAATAGCCACTTCAGAAGGCTTATACCCAGTGTCTAGGAATTGGAAAGTTATCTCAGATAAAACAGAGTGTGCCATGGCTTAAATGTATGAGATCAGAAGGTCAAATGAGAAAGTTGAAGACCTATGGGACAGACATGCCATAAGTTTATGGAGACAAGGTTTATTACATCAGTGGAGAACTCAGATTACTATTCCCTTAATACCAGAGACAATCTGTGTATTAAAGGCTGAGATGGAAGATGCTTTTGGGGAAGGTATTGAAAAATGTCAACAAGAATAACCACAGACTGTGCCATTTGTCCAAAAGCAGGACACAACAGGGAATGAGTTTCTAAATTTACAAGGGCTGAAACTATACCAATGGTCCTACCTTTAAAATGGTCAATTCACAAGCCTGTGTGGGTAGATCAGTGGCCATTAACTAAGGAGAAATCACATGCATTTGAGAAGCTAGTCTAGAGCAGCTAGAGACTCAACATATAGAAGAGTTTACCAGCCCTTGAAACTCCACTATATTTATTATAAAAAAAGAAATCAGGGAAATGGAGGATAATGAGAGACCAAAGGATTAAAAATCAGTGGCTATTATTTTCAAGTTTAGAGCACAAGCCTGAACCAAAGCCAGCCAAATGGAGATATGTCCAGCCTTAATGCCCTGAGGGGAAGAACTAGCCTCACTGCATTCTTTTCTGCCCACTAATTATACAGATGCTAGGAAACCGGCCCATCCCCCTAGGGAGAGACACCAGACCTTTAATGGTTTGGGGGCCTTCGTATAGCCAATCAATTCAAAATGCAACATCCCTTTTGTGTTTAAACCAATAGATGCTTGCCAGGCAGGAATCCCCCTGCCTTGGGCATGCTGGGAGGGACCGGAATCTTTAAATAACCCAACTAACTGGAGCACAAGGCTCTCGGCTACCACCACTTTGGTGGTGAGAGTGTGTGAGCCCAAGCTGCAGCTTATAATAATTTGTAATAAAAAGATCCTCATGTGTTTTGCAACAGACTCGACTCCTGGTGGTGGTCTTTTGGGGTACTGCGATTCAGGCACAACAATAACATCAAAATGGAAGTCAGCAAATGTTTTGCATTGGAGATGCAGATTTGTTCATATTTGCACAGGAAACAAAAAGTTGTGGACACTATCAAAACTAATAAATCTCAGAGTTGAGCAGGGGAGGTCTTCTAAAAACTGTGGCCAGTGACCCAAAACTAGCAGAGAACTGAGCCTGACCAACCACTGCCTTCCCCTGCCAGCCAGAAAACCACTGATAAGCCTGTGAGCAGGACTTTAAGATAGACTATGCTGAATACTGCATCCTGAATGTCCAAGACAGAGCTGCAAGCCAAAAGTTCACAGAGTTGGAAGCAGAGATTAAGAGACTTCAGCAAAGATCTTTAGAACCCAAGGTGCTAGAAGATATGACAGTTCAGGAATATACAGAACTCAAGGTGCTAGAAGATATGACAGTTTAGGAATATAAAAGTTTCAAGCAGCAGTTCCCAAGTTACAGGAAAGAGAATGATCACTGTTAGATTGTTATCTCTGTTGTAGTGTTACCTGAGATCACATCAGACACCTGAAAAACCAGAAAATGACACTGGAAAGAATAGAGAAGCAACTTCAAAATGGCATAATTAGTAGCTGAAACAAATTGGGGAGGGGTACTGTCATTTATTTTATGTGGCTGGCTCTTTAAAGGACTCTAACCCCTTCAGTGTCAGTTGCCTCTTGGGATACTGAGAGCAGGATATGATGAAAAAAAGGCAGCAGAGGCTGAGAGAGATGAGAGTAGAATGGAATAGGATTGGAATAGCATTAGAGTAGGATTGGTGTAGTGTTGGAATGGCCCTGCTGTTTGGGGTTGCAGTCCTTTCAAGGTGTGGGACATTCTGCCCTCAGTAGGTCCTCCTGATATCTGCCTGACTTCACCTGGAGAGTGTCTTTAGACACAGATACTCCTAACCACATTTGATGTCAGGACAGGGATGTCTCATCCTGCTGCCATCATGGAAGCTGTCCATGGTAATCACACCTTTCCTACCTGTTGCCCTCACTAAAGCTGCCCAAAATGGCAGTACCTCCACTCCAGCCTCCCCAAGCAGCCCCACAGAGATGGTGCCTCAGCTAACGCCAGTTGTATCTGGGAAGACCTTCACACCCTAACTTGATGCATGGCAAAACGAATGAAAAAAAAAGCCATCAATACCTGACTAGGTATTGAAATCCCACCAATCCTCACTCTGGAAATCTCTGCCGTGAAAAGCTCCAACCACTAAGAAATTCTATACAAGCCCTGCCCTTTGTTCAATTCCCTGCTATCTTTTACCTGGATCTGTCCCTCCACACCCTGGACTCCCCAGTAAATCCCTTTTATGAGATTTGCTACCTGCTGTGACTCATCAGAAGAAGCCAAGAGGTCTGAAGAGATGGCTCAGAGGTTAAGAGCACTGGCTGCTCTTCCAAAAGGTCCTGAGTTCAATTCCCAGCAACCACATGGTGGCTCCCAACCATCTATAATGAGATCTGGTGCCCTCTTCTGGTGTGCAGGCACACATGCAGGCACAACATTGTATACATAATAGATAAATAATTACATCTTTAAAAAATGAAATTTAAAAAAGTAGAATCCAAGAAGCTTGAGCATGGGTGAGGCTCCTGAGGGGATACTATACCCTGGGAGCAGCATTATCTCTGGCGAGAAGGCTTCCTCTCAGAGCTGTGTGGTTCCTGAGCTCTCATGACTCAGGATGCCCTTCCACTGGAACACTGTCCCACCTTAGAGCTGTATGGTTGCTGGGCCTCCAGCCTCAGGATACCCTTCCATCTGAGCAAGAACACTAACAGATTTGATGCTGTGCCTCAGATGGGCTCTCCTGGTGCTTGTGCTCCCTCTAGTCCTGTGGTCTGAGCCACACTACAGCACTATCCCCTATCTCCATCTGCAGCAGTCTCTTCTTCTGGTTCAACAATTGTTCACCACCCCATCCACCAGTGACAATTAAGTAAGCGTCCCCTTCTGGTTGGTGTAAATGCTTCTCTCAGTCTGAGGAAGTGACCGTTGAATGTCTGGCAACCTTCTGGTACTCTTGGAGGTAGAGATAGTTCAGTCATGGTCTTTAAGGCTACAGCTGGCTCTCTTCACCTGTCCCCACCCTCCCACCATTGGAGCTGCAACCTTGCTGCTCCTAAGGCTAGCTGCAGCATGCACACACCCAGCACACACTCCTCACTGGCTGGTGACTCAGCTCCCTTCTGCAGTGTTCTCTGCCATCTAAATGTTCCCATTCCCAAGCCGTCTTTCTTTGCTTCCAGGATTCAGGTTTATAGGAATTCAGGTGTCATTTAGGTGTGAGTGGCATTAGACTGTTTTATGCTGTCCTGTTTCAATTACAAGCTGGCTCTGGAGGTGGGGTATTGCTCGCCCTTTTCTAGATCTCCTTACAAAGGTGCAGCAATATATGAATTTACACCCTGAGAGCCCAGTTGGAAAACCACTCTTTTGAGCTACTTCTTTTCCCAGATATTAGGGCCAAAACATAAACATCTAAAGAAAAGAAGAAAACTTAGCCATGGTTTTCAAGGTATACCATGGGAGAGATGAAAAAGTCCCAAAACAAAATTATGTAATGATGGCTAAGGCTTCTCAGACAGCCAAAGCAAAAGCCAGCTCCCTGGCTGCCCAAAGGCCCAGAACCTCCACATTATTGTTTCAAATATGGTCAGAGGGTTACTGGGCTTGGGCTGGTCCGAATCCTTGTAAACCACCCAAACCATGTCCAAGGTGCCATCAAAAGGACACTGGGTTGTTGACTGCCTACATGCCTCTTCTGACATGGGGACATCAAACCTAGGTCATCCTTCAGCCAAACTGCCTTGGTCTGGCTATGAATAACTGATGGGGCCTGGGCTCCCATAGCCTGACCACTGTCATCTCTGACAGTATCAGGGTGATCTGTCTCTTTCCTTTAGGATCCTGTGGCCACCTACTCAGTCCTGATGGAGTTGAGGGGACCCACCTCTTCTTCCTGTTTCCCTATTTACATCATTACCAGGCTCACCAAACCCCACCACTTAGCTGGATATGTAGGGCTACCCACCCCTTACCCATTCTTTCCTAGTAGTACCAATCTGTCCCTCCCATCTCCTTGCTGAGAAGGAACCTTCTAGACAAAATGGGAGCTTCTATTTTTTTTGCTCTGCTCACCCACTTGACCAATTGTTCCTCACTCCTCCTCCAAACTAAAGACTGTGACACATCTTTTCCCTCACCAGTCTTTCAGGTAGATCCCAGGTATGGGACACTCAAAATTTCCTCTCTAGCCAAACATCCCACTCCCACCCTCGCTCATCATTTAATTACAAAACCCAACCAAATATATAATCCACCCTCAATACACATGTCCTCTCCAAAACCTCAGGGGACTTAAGACTCTGACCTCTGACCTTAGGAAAGGCTCTTCTGCATCCCACTTCTACCTCCATGAAATAACCCAATGTAAGCTATCACTTGGTTCAGGATCTCCAACTTATCAGTTTATCAGTAGTTCCTTCTCACTTTGTAGCACCCAGCCCCTATGCTCTCCTTCCTACCATCCGCCCAGAGAGTACTCATTTCTGTTTTAGACCTCAAGGATGCCTTCTTTTTATTTCTATTGACCCACAGCCACAAAATATCTTTGCCTTCATATGGACCAACTCAGAAACACATATCTTCCCAACTCATTTGAATCTCCTACTCCAGGATTCTGGGATAGCTCACATTTATTTGGACAGGCTCTGGCTTCTTACTCTCTTTGCTTCTTCCCAAATCCAACTTTACTCAATATATAGATGATCTTTGTATTCCATCCTTGAAAATTAGCCAGGCAGACACCTCTCCCTGTCCAGCCAGAGATACAGGGTCTCACCTTCTAAGGTCGAGCTGGACACCCCTCAATTTAAAAATTGGACCATATTAACCAAGGATGGACTCCTTGTCTGTGAGCTGCACCTAAATTTCTGCTATACAAATCAAAAGGGTTACCTTCTAGTCACCTACTGCAGTCTTCTCTTTTCACTATGTAGACTATATCACTTAACAAGTGCTGGGATTACAGGTATATGGTCCCCAACACTACCACTTGAGAGTTCTCTCTCTCTTCAGGTATTATCAGTAGAGGACTTTACACTTACCTTTCAGCTATGCCTAACATTTTAAATTCACTCAAGTTACTGACATGACTCTCTTAAAGAATGTACAGATCCTTTGTTAAGGGCCTATAGCACCACAAATGGGAGATGAGGGTCATTGTTAAACTTTACTATAGCATTTGCCACAGCTGCCCATCATGCACAGTCAAAACACAGAGGGTACACATCCCATTCTCTCAACCCCTAGATATAGGGACATGGTATAAGGCGTGGTCTAGAGCTCCTCAGAGCTCCTCACATTCCTGATATCCCCCATTTTAGAAAATATCTCCCTTCCCTGCCTTACCATCTCATTTCAGACTTTAAACTATGCGTATCCGCTAGATTTACTAACAGCTGAGAGAGGTGACCTTTCTCTCTTGGTGAGGAATGCCACATTTATGTTAACCAATTGGGTATAGTAAAAAACAAGATCCAACAAGTTCAGACGGATCTCCTAGAAATCTTAAGAAACAGCTCCATGTCTCAGGCCAGTGTATCATTGACAATATAGTCTAGAATTGTATACTTCTTTTAAAAAACGATTTATTTATTTATACAGCATTCTGCCTGCATGCCAGAAGATGGTACCAGATCTCATTATAGATGGTTATGAGCCATCATATGGTTGCCAGGAATTGAACTCAGAACAGCCAGATGGCACAGAGGGAACTGTGGAAAGGTGCCTCAGAGGGAATTGTAAACTCCTTACTCTCTCTCTCTCGCTCTCTTTTTCTGAGACAGTGTCTCTGTGCACTCTTGGTTGTAGATCAGGCTGGCCTCGAACTCACAGAGATACGTCTGTCTCTGCCTCCCCAAGTGCTAGGATTATAGGTATATGGCTCCGTGCCTGGCTCTCTTCTTATATTTATGGTTGTGAATCTAGCCTTTTACAGCTGAGCCATCTCTCCAGCCCCTTGGGTCCCTTCTTGATCATACTAGTTGTACCTGCTTCCTAAACTTCTTATCTAGATTTCTTTCTTCAAAAACAAATCCAAAAGATTTCTAATCAGAGTTTTAACCAGTTATTACCAGATCACCAGCCCCTAACCACAGATCCAGAGGCCCACAACACAAAATTATACCCTAAGAGTATAGGGTATAGGCTCAGACTTGCCTCAAGAAGCTCAATGCCCTAGATAAGCCCTAGATAAGCACGAAGCAGTTTGAAGATTATACTGTTCCCATTCCAACTCCCTCCCTTTCTGGCCACTACCCATTTATCAAAAAA